GGCCTTCCTTGACGCCAATGATCTCTCCAAGTAAGTCCAACCTCATTGTTACCCTATTAATGGAATTTACTTTGCTTCTTTTTATATTTTTGGTCTATAATTTCCCGATACTGATGCCCTATTTAGAGGTCGTTATTTCAATGAAGCTACTCTTCCACCGCCAACCCATGCGCGTGCGCGCTCACCAAGTCAAAATGCAATCCCCCCGACCGAAGCTGCCATCACCAATGCCAAACCTGTCGCCGGGATCACTCCACCTTTAACCGTCGATGGCGGAGCTCCGCATGCGACCGAGCCTCAACGGCGCGGAACGCCTGTTCTAGACCAACCCCGGACCGCCACACCTAATCTCCCGCCTACCCCCGTGGATGCGATCGCAACACGTCAGCCCTCAGTGCCAGCCACCAGCCCTAAGCTGCCAAGGGATCTCAACGTGCCGCCGATTGCTGTACAGTCACTCGACTCATTGCGCGCCGACCAGAAAGCTAGTGTTCAGATAGCGGAAACGCCGCTTAGTGCCCACGACCATGACGGAAACCAGGCAAAGATCTCTCCCCGCGTGTCGAAGCTAGCTGCGACTGGAGTTCCATCACTGGAGATTCCCTCCGACTCCCTTCGAAGGAAACATGAAGCACGGCCTTCTCTTAGCTTGGGCCCATCCCTACACGAACAACCCCCATCACCCGCCTCCTCCATTGACCCATACAATAATAATACACCCATTCCAGTTGCCGCATCACCCGACACAAGCCCGGCAGAAGAAGTGACTGAGGATGTTGGAGCAATTGATCGTCCAAAACACAAACTTGACCGATCTGCCCAAGCTCGGTTGAGCTTGGTTCCCTCGACCCCAGACGAGCAATTGCGCCTAGAAGAAGCTCAGTCGGAACCTGACAAGCCCTTGAATGATGTGATCCCCGACCTACCTCCATCGAAAGAAGTGATTCTGGAGAGTGTGGATACCGGGACTGATGCAGATCGCATGGATATCGACCAGGAACCTGCCCCCGTCCCTAAACTACAACAAGAACCTGAGACAACGAAGCGAGAGTCGTTGTCACCGACCGCACATGCCGAAGCCGCTGCAGATTCAGCTGTCGAAACTCCCACTGCCAAAAAGCTTTCTATTCCACCTACTCAATCTGGCTCAACACAACCAGAACGCATGACCACTAGAGTATCATCAGGAGCTATTCGGCACAAGTCTGTTTCCGAGATTCTTGGAGAAACCCCTAAGAGTGTCGCTCATGATAGAAGCCACCCAGCCACGCCGTCTGACCATGGCTCTCCTGATTCTGTCGCAAGAATGCGCCTCAAGGACCGGAAGGAGCGGGAGAAGGAGAGAAGCCGACTTTCGACTGTTGTGTTTCCAAAGCAGCCGGCCCAGCAGGAGAAAGCTGACTCTATGGACCTGACCTATCGAGACATGGATGCGGTTGCCAAGCTGAACGAGGAGCAAGACTATCTTTTCACATTATTCTTGAACAGAGCGTACGCCCCTCCCCGGGGAACGAATCTCAATACCCTGCTGGCATCCGCGCACAAAACTTTGAGTACTAGCAATCATATGCTTGAATACCAAGAACAGATGGATTGCCGTACTCTCCGGCGCATCTATGCTCTTCAAAATGCGAACCGATGGCCATTGCGACAATTAAAACGCTCTGTTGAACCTCCCCGGCAGGGAACACATTGGGACGTTGTTCTAGATCACATGAAGTGGATGCGAACCGACTTCCGGGAGGAGAGAAAGTGGAAGATCGCCGCTGCGAAGAGTTGTGCCGATTGGTGCGCAGAATATGTCAACTGTGATGCGGAACACCGGACCCTACTTCGTGTCCAAGCAAAGATTCCAACATCAAGTCTGGCAGAAAAGGATTCCTTTAAAGCCGGTCTCAGTCCACCCTCCGACGATGCTGGCGACGAAGTCTTTGGTGTCTGTCATCACACTCCGGATCTCATGCCATCTGCCGAGGAGGAATCAGTCAGTGATGGGTTCAATGATGAGCCTCGCCACGACATTCATGACACAGTCGCCCCTGCTGCTATTTTCTCCCTGGGCTCGGATGAGTTCAACTTCTCAATTGACATGACCCCTGCTGCAGAGAAGTTGTTGGACGAACTGCCGATATATGGACCACTCCAGATCGCCCCTGACACGAACGCACCGGTATTCAAGGTCTCCCCTGACACAGTTTGGAAAACGGAACTACTGCCAGTATCCAAATTTGCATCCGCGAAGATTAGCTTCCACGATGACGATCATCCTCGCAAACGGAGCAGATATGACTACTCCCAGTACGGGAATGATTCGGATAATCGCATCACCGAACTGGCACCTGAGCAGACAAACGTTGCACTGTTCCGACCAGAGAACAAGCCCATCCGTGATCGGATTCACCCTGGTCATCAATTCCGGCCCCCAACTGAACACCCGATGCCTTCTGTTGGCTTCTTTGAATCACGTTCGTCCTCGCAATGGACTTACGCTGAGGATGATGAACTCCGACGCTTGGTTAAGGAGTACTCTTACAACTGGTCCTTAATTTCCAGCTGTCTTACCCCGTCATCACTCTTCACCTCTGGCGCTGAGAGACGGACTCCTTGGGAATGTTTCGAGCGGTGGGTAGGACTGGAAGGTCTTCCTGCAGATATGTCTAAAACTCAATACTTCCGAGCTTATCACCAGAGGCTTGAGACTGCCCAACGCACTGTTTTGGCCCAGCAGCAGGCTGCTCAGCAACAGCAGCAACAGCAGCAGCAGCAGCAAGGCGCCAACGCCCAACCCCAGCCACCTGTCCGCCGGAGGACCACTCAGCCTCTTCGAGTTGACCGGAGACGATCTTCGAAGCATCTTGCTTTGCTTGATGCCATGCGAAAGCTAGCTAAGAAGCGTGAAACTATGCTTCAGAAACAGCAGCATGGTATGTTTGGAATAGAAGCAGGTTACGTCGTGCCAAGAACTCTACTGACATCTCTGTTTTTAGCTTCCCACCTCGCTTCCTTGCGCAAGGCTAATGAGGCCAACCAGCCTAAGCCTCCGATCTCGTCTCCAGCTGAGTTCAGTCGATTGAAGTACGACAGAGAGATGAAGCTGCAGGAAAGGCAGGAACAGTACCGCCAGCAAATGATTGCGCAGCAAAGAGTGAGTGGTGTTAACGTCCCTACCTGACAGCACTGTGGCTCATCCCCCATATAGGCTAGTCTCGCGGCGCAGCGTTCCGGCCAAGTACCTAACCAGCAGCAAATGATGAACGCGCCGGGGCGTAACAACACCATGCCCCCCACTTCCAACCCTAGCCTACCAGGTGGAACCCCGAATGTAATGTCCAACGGCATGCCTCCTAGTGCTGGTGTCAATCAAGGCCGCCCCATTCCAATGCCGAACATGCCTAATGGCGCACAGCCCAATGGCCAGATGCCTAATGGAATGGCCATGAAGATGATGCCGCAAGCCCAAATGCAGCAAACACCAGGGGCACGACCAGGCCTACCAATGCAAGCCTCTCCTGATAACACGCGTGTGATTCGAGAAGCCAATCGATTGCAGGAGCAGCAGCGTCTTCTCCAGTCTCGGCAACAGCAGCCACACCCTCCTCAGCAGGGTCAGCAATTCCATAACCCACAATTCGGTTCTCAGGGATCGCCGAACCTGAACATGTCGAACGTTAATGGTACTCCTAATAACCCTGCTATGATGGCTGCTCTCCAGAACCAAGGAGGAATGCAGAGCCCGTCGTTCCACGGCAGTACGCCACAAGGCGTCTCAACCCCATCGCCTCGTATGGGCCAGCCCAATCCTCTCTCGAGCGGTGTTGTGCCCCAAATCAGCACTCTCCAAAGTCAGATTCAACGCACGAACCCGAATATGCCCCCGGAGCAAGTGACCAAGCTGGCCACGGATCGACTCAACCAGTATCAGCAGCAGCAACAGCAGCGCTTGTCCCAACAAGCGGCGATGAATGCTGCTGCAGGTAGCATCAATGCAAGTGCCGTTCAGGCTAACTACCAAGTTCCCCACGAGGCTAGCTTCCAGACTCCGAACGGCGGTTCCGGCATACAGGTCCCTCAGAATCAAGGGTTCTCCCCAATGATGCGGGTCCCCCAGCCCGGCCAGCAAAACCGTGTTGGCCCGACTAGCTCGCCGGCTATGAACGGTGCTGCACCCCTGCCAAGCCGCAGCGGCACTCCCCAAAACCAGCGCAGCGGCAGTGCTCAAGCTGGCGCTGTTCAAGGTTCCAGCAAGAGCCCGCACGCTCCGGCAGCTCAGACCGCGACCAGCTAGGAGCTTGCTCAACTTGTCCTCCTGCAAAATCTTTGCAAATCCTTTTTTCCTCCCACCTTTACGTTCGTCTGTACATACTTACACCAACCCTTACGCTGATTTATTTTCTACACTTTGTCCTTCACCATTGACTCGGATTCTTGTGCTACACCTACACCTACACTTACACGTACCCCATTTGTTGACCTCTACTGCGTGCTTTATTTTTTTGACTTGAAAATGTTCATCATTTACTTGAACTTGATATGCACTGGCTCTTTTTACACCAGTGTTCTGAATGGGCTTGGGCTTGTATCATTGGGAATAGGCGCTGGGGCGGACGGATTACTCTTAGGAATTGATATGAATTGTATGATTAGTTTGGAGGTTTTCTGTGTGTACTTGTAGACAAATTGGAAGGTACTTGCCAAGGTATTTCCTGGGGAGTTTGATTGAGCTAGATATATTCTATTGTAATACTCGAAAAGCTGTGCAGGAATGATTTCTACGATTTACGGCTACCCATTTCCAACAATCCTGCTTCCTATAACACTAAGAAGGGAAAAAAGACTCCAAAAAAGATATCTAAAAAGGTTCTCAATAAATTGCCGGTTGTCTAGTCATGCCACAGACAACCCGGTCAATTGGCTACCTCTGGGAATCTCTGAGCATTGCGATATCAATGCTCCAAACGAAAGCGAAATTGAAATGGACACAACCACCTGACCCGACGACTTCACTTGCCCTGTCTGACCAACGACCAATCCAATACTCTGGGTGGTTTCTGAGCTGGTTTGTCCTTTGGGGCATACCTTGGCTTCTTTTCATACACCAACCACCCGGACACCGGTTGAATCGAATCAAAACCAGTCTGCCCAGTGAGAATGGCTGGTTTGCAGCGCTTCATCTGGCGGTGATCGTCCACGAAATATGGAAGGCTTCGCTCGTAACTATGGCCTCCAGAACCATCTAGCATTGCTCCACTCGAAGTGGCTTGTATGCCGATCAGCCCGGCCAACATCACCGCCTCGAATTCCCGCCCCAGCTCGTCAATAACTGTGACTGGCACGGAGACATAACCCAGAGGGACTTTCTCTGTGTCTATGTGGCGCGACAAACCCTGATCAAGCTCTAACTCCATGTCCCGTGTCTTGAAGCCTGGCGAGCTTGCTGGAAGGATCTGCTCTGGGTGTAGCAGCTTTCCATCAACATCCCAGAAACAAAATACCGATATCCAGCCAGTCAGATAAGTTGGCCCGCTTCCCCCACCTCTTCTGTCCGCAAATTTGCCCCAGAAACTCAGTACATCGGGTGATTCGGGGTTGTCAAAGGAAGCCACGAAGTTGTTAAGTACCGGCCGAAGAAGCTGAGCGAATCGAGCAGGCTCATCTCCTAGATGAGCTAGCTGAGCAAGCTTCGTTACCATAAGCTCCCAGTCCTCACGCTCGCCGAGCAAAGTGACAGACGGAATCCCGCACCGCAAATTGAATTGATAAGTGAAATACTTCTGCATAGAGCCCATCATGATGATAGCTGCCACCGCTTTATCAGACGCAGTCGTGGTACTGAAGGCCGGCATAATCCAGCTCCGTAGGTCTGGATTCACTACGTGCTTTTCCATAAGCTCAGTCATAGTCATTGCCAGTTCACCAAAGTCCACAGTACCCACGGTCTCATCTGACAGGATGTTTAGATGCTCTGTACCCTTATGCGAGACGAATAGATGTCGCAGTTCCTCGGAATGTGCCACGACGAAGAAACTGAGCTGTGACAGAATGGTGAACCACACATCTTCGGGCCGGAGCAGAAGGTTGTGGTGATGACTATAGGCGTGGAACACGGCCCAGACAAAGCCATTTTCGGATACGGAAATGTGAGATGTTTCGAAGAGATCTTTGGTGAATGAATTCCCAATCAACTTTTTGCTCTCGGCATGCCCCTTTGGACAGCTTTGTTTGAAGAGGTCTTCGATATTGGCTACCCTCCGGGGCTCCCATCCACGCGGTGGATGCTTGGCCGTGGTCAAAGTGACAGGCATGTTGTCGGTGAGTAGGATGAACAGTGTTGAAAGCGAGCTAGAGTGAGCGAGTGAGAAAGAAAGAGAGTATCTGTGCCGAGAGGATTTCGAGCAGGAGTTGAAGAGATAAAGTAAAGAGAAAGAAGGTTGAGAATGACAGATCAGACGTGAATAATGTTGAAAGAAATAGTGTTGAGGGAAGAGAGAAGAGAAGATGAAGATGTGTCACTAAACCTATTGGCCCGGGGACACATAGGGCTTAGTACATAATGAAGGTACCACTAGCTTCTAGGGCCGTTCTAAGATTGTTCTGTTCTTTATGCCATATATCATCACTCTTCCATCTTGATATCTCAAACGCCTATTGATTTCTATTCTGGCCCCGAGAGGCCCAAAAAGACCCAATATAAACACTTATCGCCTCTCAAGGGTCATCACTTGGCAAGACTCTGACCCATTTCACATCCATTCAGAAGTACATCAGTATTACCATCTCCCGTAAGAGTTTTGGTCAGGCGACGAGACTTCTTGATAAGCCGACCCGGATGATAGATGAGCAATACAAGCATGGTAAAAAACATCAAAAAGGCATCAAAGGCATAGATATATGCCTCCTTGGTGTTGACATCGGTTGTCTGACCGGCTCCAAATTGAATAGTCCGCACCAGATTGCGCAGCATCAATGCAAAGCAAGAAATGTAAATTGCCCAAATATATCGCTGCCAGTGTAGATTGGGGTTCTCCTTCAGAAAAGGCGTCGGCATTTTTCGAAGACGTCGATGAAATTTGGTCGCAATCAGAATAAAACAGGCAAAGACAAATAAGGAGAAGATCAAGCCAGCCAAAACGACCTTTTTGCCAATATACATCACCTGCTGATCCCCGGTAACTTGGACACCCGCACCCCCCAATTGTGTACAGAAACAGAGCACATCATTCATAACAAAGACAAAGGTGAGCCATTTGGGGCGCATGCTTGAAAGATGCTCAGCGCCGAAGGAGCGGACAATGCGGCCGAGGACCATATAGACGGTGGCTGCCACAAGAGGTGGTGCGCATAGAATGAGCATTTCCTGCAAGGCCCATGACTTGATCTCAAATCGAGACTGGTGTGACCATGCTCGGCCGTAGTAGCCGAATGTCTCGCCTGGTTTCGTTCATCGTTAGCTCTAATGGTTCCTCTTTTGTGGATGGGGACTGTCACCATACAAATTCCGCCTAGTATCAGTGGGATGAAATAAGCAGCACGGAAGGGAAACATGAACACGATATGGGCAAGTGTTGAAACCCCAAAGATTCCCATGAAGGCATACCCAGCCGTGGCAGATGGCGTGTAGGGATAGAACTCTACCCAGGGATCAGTCCCATTTTTGCCGGGGTGATAAACAATATCCATAATGATGCTAACAAGAGTGTAGTTTCCTCTTTTTAAGGAAAATATGGGATTTAGGGACTTATAAATGTCTAGTTAACGCTGTTGCACATCTAGGGCTATTTCTAGATTCCCAATCGGGGAATTTCTGAACGAATACGCTTTAATGTGGGGCATCTCCCCGGTCCACTTGGATTATGCTTCTTTCCTATGATGCTTGTCTGTTCGGCATATTTTTTTTTAGAAATTCTACTATGTATGTAGCGGGGGAGAAATGAAAAACTAAGATTTCGTGCTCTACTACTACGTAGTGCTGTTTCAAGACTAGATATCTTACAGTCCCGAAACGAGTGGACTACAAGACGGGACCATGGAGTAATTTAGTATCAAACTTGTCTCTCCACTTTAGTGGCGCCTACGTAACCCATCACGCTTGATGTATGTACTTGAATTCCCGAGAAGCGATGTTAGCAAATTTATAACTGGAGGTTGAAGAGGGAACATAAGTACGAGTACGTCCAAACTTCCTGATTAGGTCCAGATCATCCTGATGATTTCACCATTTCTTGCTTGCTGCCTAAAATTATACCCTATTGTCTTTGCTTGCTTCGGATTAGTGGATATCTGATCTCAACAAAGGTGTTGTGTTGGTAAATGTCTGTTGAGGCATGAAAGGGTTTTGTAACGACATTTCACATATTATCATGATTTGTATGCATATATTGTACATCTAGCCAATAGACTATCCAGACACTCAGCTTCCGGCGAAGAAGCACCCAATGAATATTCGTGAGTTGTATGTCGAGTTGCAGAGAGGTAGTTTATATTACCACCGTCCATATAAAATTTGCCGATTTAGCCGCGCGCTTCCGATTTTGCCACCGCTCATGAGCTCTCAAGTATCAATTGCGCCTCTAGCTCTCTCTTCCCTATTAAGCACTCCATTCGGTTCAAACCAAGATACCATCGCGATGTCCTCGCGCAACCATAATGAGGGCGGGCAACAGCCGTCCAAACCAATCTCTTTATCTTTATCCAGTTCGAAAGGTCCCTCGAAAAAGACCGGTTTCAACATCCAATCCTCAAATCGCGGCGGTTCCACAAATTCCCCAGCAAACGGCCGGTCACTGCCTCGGCGACCTCACCAGCTCGGCGATGACTCTGACGAAGAGGAGGCTCCTCCGGCCCATGAGGAAATCTCAGGGTTTGACACCCACACAGGTGCCGCCATTACTGCGGACGGGCAGGCAGTCGCGAAGGGAAAGAAGCCTCTGGTCATCCCCGTTACAAGCAAGAACAACTGGCGCGACCGGGCGGGCGTGAAGAAAAGTAAGAATCTGCTGCCCAGCGAAGTGCAGGCCATGCAGGAAGCGCAAAAGAACGGACAAGCACCTCCCGGAGAGCCTACAGTAGAGACAGATACGCCCAGCGTGGCGTACGGGTTGAGCTTCGCACAGCAATCCGCAGAAAAGGCAGATCGTGGTGCAGCAGTGGACGAAGACCAGGCCATGCCTGATGCGAAACCTGTCGCGACCAAGCCCCTCACCGACGACGAGATTGCCATGCAGGCGCTGATTCGGGAAACCACGGGCGAAAACGAACGGAGGTCAGACCTTGTGATTGAGTCTGCTAAGCATGGAGGGGAAGGCGATGAGGAAGCACCAGTCCAATACAACGAGCTTGGATCTTTCCGAACAGATGTGGCATCCCGGCCTGAGCCTGCTAGTTTGGACGCCTACAATGCTATTCCTGTTGAGGAATTCGGAGCCGCGCTGCTACGAGGAATGGGCTGGAAGGATGGTCAAACTATCGGACGAGGCAACTACAGCAGTGCCACAGCTGCAGAGAAGGCGAAAAACCCTCGTGTCCCAGAACGACGACCTGGGTTCCTCGGCATTGGCGCAAAGGATTCATCCGGCGGTAAAGGAGCCGAAACTGAGCTTGGAGCGTGGGGAAAAGCGGCTATGCGCAAGGCGTCGAGGAAACAGGGCGATGAGGACGACAAGGCGGAGGGTGTGTACATGCCTATCACGATGCGGAATAAGAAAACCGGCGAGCAACTCACCGAAGCGGAACTTGCTGCTCTACAAAAGGAGGCCAAAGCCAAGCCTCCCAAGGAAGATGACTGGCGCGAGCGACGGGATCGCAACCTTGAAAAGAGCGGTCGGGACAAGGATCGAGACCGGGAATACCGCAAACGCGACTATGACGATGAGGAGGATCGTTCCAGCCGGAATACTGGGTCCTCGCGACGTGACCGCAGTCGGTCTAGTGGCCGCCAATCTTCTAGTCGTTCCTCTCGATATGACGACGATGATAAAAGCAGACGGGATGACCGTTCTTATCGGGACCGAGACCACGACCGGGATCGTCGTCGGGATCGTGATGATTATAAGGACGATCGAAAGAGAGATGGAGATCGAGAGCGGGACAGGGACCGCAGCCATCGGTCTCGAGATGAGAGATACAGCAGCTCGCGGCACTCGTCTCACTCATCTCGGAATGACCGAGACCGAGATCGTGATCGTGATCACGACTCTCGTCGGAGTCGTCGCGATGATTAGAGGCCAGATGGTTTTGGCAAGGGGATTGAAAGGCATTGAGGCCTTTGTACAGGATAAATTGCTGCTTCTTTGGAGCTACATATTCCCTACGTCTAGTTTTTTTACCACGAGACTCAACCAAATAAAGATACCCTGAACAATCAAAATACATGGCTTTGGCCAAAGAACACTTTCCATGATACACTGTTCAATTCTATAAAGAGATGGCTTTTATCCTTCCCACCCATGGTACTCCAAGAACGAAAGCGCCAAATTCAATGTACAAACAAGGTAAAAGACTTAAAGCCAGACTATGCTTCCAACATAATAACGTCCTTCTCATGCTCTTCCTCCTCACTGACATCACCCACAGTCAAATCACGCAGTCCACCGAGTCCAACACCGCCATCCATCTCACCGAGGACCCACTCCACCAGGTAGCTGTCATCGACCAGCTCCTCAACTCGGCGGTAATGTCTTTCAGTGTACGCAGCCAGTGCCTGCAGGATATCCTTCATACCAGCTGCGGCACGACCCTCCTTTCCGCGGACGGACTGGGTCGCAAGCTCCACGAAAGTGGACGCAGGGTAAGAGCGGAACAGGGCATACAGGATGCGCTGTGAGACACGCGAGGTGCGTGCATTAGTGTTCCAGTCCCGGAGACGGAGCAGGAGAGTGCGCAGATTGGCAGGGTCCAAATTCTGCAGGACCTCGTCGATGGACGGGTTACCGGACAGACTGGCTGCAGCACGCTCGCGGTCCTCGGCCGGGACGGTTGGGTCGTCTGCGGCGTTGATGGCGGAGGTGAAGAGCGAGAGCAGTCTACCCGGGTGGTTGAGTTGCAGGGCCAGAGTGATGGCTTCACGGTAGGCACCGGCGCGGATGTAGTTCTGCAGCTCTTGGTCCTGTTCGACGCGAGCAGAGCTGGCGTTGACAGCGGCTGTGTAAGTGGATGATGTAGTATCAGTCCAGAAGGTCACTGTTGCGTCGGCAGAACCAGAGGCAATGGCGTAGGGAGTAGTGTTGAACTTGGAGGGGAGTTGCTTCACGTCTGCGCGTGAGCCGGACGGGGTTGGGCTGGCAAGCGCCCAGACTCGGTCGATGTGGTTGTCCAGGGTGGTTTCGAGCTCGCCTGTGTAGGGGGACCAGATCTTGACCAGGCCGTCTGCGGCGGCGGAGGCGATAAGGGGACGGTCCTGGATGGCGTTTTTGCGTGCTGTTGCCGCCTCTTCGTCATCCTCATCGTCGTCGATTTGGCTCGAGACCTGAGGAGGTGGGAGCCAGAGGACTTTGAGAACACTGTTGGTGTGGCCCTCGAAAGTCAAGAGACAGCTGTAGTCAGACAGACTCCACAGTTTGACGGTCTTGTCACCTGAGCCTGTGACTGCTAGGCCACGGCTCGTGCTGGTACGTGAATCTGAGTTGATGATCGGTGTGCCTTGCGGAGCGAATCGCACCGACCAAACACCTCGCTTGTGGCCGCGGAGGACACCTACCGACGAGCCTTCGTCGGCGGCCCAGATCTTCACGGTACGATCTTGTGACGCTGAGGCAAACAGTTCAGATGTAGAATCGATGTCAATGGCATTAATATCCTTTTCGTGAGCCTTGCGGGTATAGATTGCCTTAGGATGGCGTGGCTTATCTCCTGTCAGGGGGGCTAACTTGCTCGTATCCCATCGCTTGATTGTGCGATCTTGCGATCCAGTAATTAGGAATGCTGGTGGGTGGTTCACGGGGTCGTTATACGCGGCACTGCCAACAGGAGGTGGGACGCGCGGAAGGGCGATTGCTCCCAATGACTCGGCGTGACCAGTGAAAATAGCAAAGCAAGTATAAGAGGATGTCTTAGGGTCGATACGCCAAAGACGGGCTGTATTGTCTTTAGCGCCAGTTGCTAGCCAGTGTCCTGACCAGTCTGCATCAATGCAAATGATAATATCGTCATGGCCCTCCAGGTGTGTGACATCAGCACCAAAGTACTCCTCTCCCTGAGTTGATGGTCGGTCTTCCGAAGGGGCAACTGAAACTACACGAATACTCTCGGTGTTGGTGGCCAAAGCAAGCATCGATCGATCAGGCCCAATGTAAGCCAAGTCAATAATCTCGTCGTCATTGCCGGAAATGCGGCGGATAACTGGCAAGGGCTCCAAAGTTGACCCTGGCTTATAATCAGAGAGCGACTCGAGCGAGTGGACCCGGAGAGTCTGATCCGCGTGGACGGTGAGAACGAAAGGTAAACCAGGCGAATACTGGATAGCGACGACACTTTCGAATTCCTCTCCAGCCTCTTGTTCTTCTGTGATCTCGCTTCCACGATTGCAGTCCCAAACTCGTAGTTTGCCATTTTCTCCACCGATAACGCACAGTCCGCTGTCAGCAATGAAAGCCGCGGCTTCCACGCTCTCCAAAACAGGAATGATTCTGCGAGTCTTCCAAGTACGCGCATCCCAGACGATGACAGTCTTGTCTCTGCTGGCAGAGATCAATGCGTTCTCTGACGGAGAAAAGGACAAACTGCGGACAAGTGAAACGTGTGACTCGAGCGACGCAATGGACTTTCTCTTATGCAGATCCCATACACGCATTTTGCCATCTTCACTGCCAGATGCTAAGCGGAATCCTGCAGTAGAACCTGTACGGGCAGAGCCCTCCATATCTTCATCATCATCCCCCGTAGCCTGTTGCTTAGACTTGTTCTTCTTAGATGATTTGGAATCGCTGTCGGCAGTAGGAACCTCGAAAAAGCAAAGCGCAGAAATGACACCACCATGACCATGGAAAGTGTGGGTGACAAAACCGCCTCTGATGTCCCAGACCTTGATTGAACCATCGGCACCACCGGTGGCTAGCAGTGTGCCAGTAGGGTCAACAGCAATGGTCACAACGGGAGCTGTGTGAGGCTTAAGGGTTCGGAGAAGTTTTGCTTCAATGGTCTGGGAAGTCTCGTCGAAATCTGGGAGGCTGTAGATTCGCATGGACATCGAGCGCGAGCAAACAATAGCGTGTGAGGCGGAAGGCGTGACTAGGCGAATTGTCAGTATTTTATTCTCGTTCCCAGGGCATACAATACTTACTGGCCAAACCTGTGACAATTTCTCCATCCTGCAGCGATTATGTGGTTAGCGCTTTGCAATTGACGAATATCCAAGGCGACAAAAACATACCCCCTCCAGGCTAGCAAGCTGGTTACCAGTCTCCAGATCGACGATCAAGGCATCTTCGCCCACGCAGCTCAGCAAGATGCGCCCACTGGCATCCAGCGCGGTGCTACCGCCGGTGTAAATGGGGCGGAGCGTGCGGGACGCCTCGAAAGTGGTTTTGACGATAGCTTTCGACATGACTCTATAATATCTCGGCGTAAAAAAGTAAAAATTAGCACGCCATTGGCCAGTCGAAGAGCCGTAGAGATTGAACGATCGCAAAAAACGGCAGCTCGAGCGGGCAACTTTTTTTGATGTTTGCACTGTTTGTTTGGTGATAAGATATGGCTTGTGCCTCAGGCCAAGTAGATGCCGCATTACCACATGTACCTTCAACCGTCCGGCTTTCGTCTGACTTGTGCTTCATCGTTTATTACTTTTGAATCCACAGGTTCTGGCAGGCTTTGTATTAATGGTGTACTAGAAGGTGATGTGGCTACACTACTAGCCCAGTGACCTTGCACGATATGGGTCGACAGGCTTATTTGAACCGGCTCGCTTTGGTAAGCTTCACCTTTCTACGCGCGAAGTTACGCGCGAACTTTCCCCTATATTTGTACTTAAAAAGACCCTGGATTTATGGACTGTGGCAATGGATCATGTTTACCCCGGGAAGCGCAAAGTCTTCTGAAACTGAACCAGTCACCACCTGGCCCTGTCTCATTGTTTCTATCCGGATATACAAACCCACCCCAAACACCTCTTACCATACATGCCTAATTGAGCTTAGTTACAACCTGGGTAGTATATCATATTAACTGATTTCAAGGGCCGGTCCCCGTATGAAGCCCCCGACAATGCGGCGGTTGACCCCTCCAATCCAGTCCGACGGATCTCCAGCGTTTATGCAGACAATTACATGCAGCAATATGATACTCGAGGTCACCCTGTTAATCCCGAGTCCAGAACCCTCGGGAAAGAACTCCGGAGAGCAAAGAATGATATCCTTTCAACAATGGGGATTGTCGTCAGCGGAGAAGACCGAAACTCTGGTATCCCCAATGAGCAGCAAAAGATCAACCAGATTGCGAGTGAAAATGACTTCGGACTGGTTATAACAACTCTCGATCAACTGTTCATCTTTTTTGGTACTTGGTGGACCTCTTCAGTCACTGGTCGAGTACAGGTAAATGCAATGCCCAACTACTCTAGATGTTGATTGAGCTGACATTCGAGACCTTGTGTTCAGACTTACCAGCATTATGCCCATTCCGCATTACTCAACGTCATACAGTCTGAGAGGGACACCGCAGGCATTCTTAGCTTCTATTTTTCAGGAATTCCTGCCTGGGCAATGTCCAGCGGGTTGGCTATCGCTCGTGAGACCCCGCTGAAACGGGTGTTTGTCTCTCTTCGGGACTATGCTCAGTCTTTGACAGGCGACTCACTCGGTGTTCGTTCTCTTTTCGGGCTTCTATACACAGTGTGAGTATATTCATCGTCTGTTCAAATAGACAAGACAACTAATCATGAATAAAAGGGCGAGAAATTCTGTGCTCATGTTGTCTATGGAGTTCTACATGTACTCCACACTTCAATCTCTTTCCCTTGTGTCTCCGTATGGCATACCTGGCGCGCAATTTCTGCTTCCCTTCGGCAGAGAATCCTTGCTACAGCTGCCACCTTTGCCCACTGATTTGTCCCCTCACTCACTGGGGATCTCACTTGTCCAATTGTTGACATCCCCCGGCGCTTTAGTGTTCATCTATGGCTACTACTTGCGACCAGAGCTTGAAGAGCGTATCTATCGGTTGATCAGACGACACCTTCCTAAGCCATCTCTTCCTGATGAACTCTCAGTCCGCGTTGCCTTCGAAGAAAACCTGATAGAGTGGGTAGTGCCTACGCTGGGCCGCAGATCAGACGAGGAATTACACCGCGGCAAGCTCACACTATTCGAAGACATCAAGTTTGAACTAGCCGTTTTTCGAAGATGGGTATCATCGCTTTTTGGACTGAGATCGAACCAATCGGCAGAGCAGAAAGCTCTCCGGACATTTAGAGACGAGAGGATTGAAAACCTACGCAATTCGATTGAGTTGCTGCAAAATGAACTTGACGGAATCAACATTGTTGCTGAACAAGGACCAAATGAGCCCGTGCCTAGACCGCCGGGGATAACCCCCGATGCTCAGGCTGCGGCTCTTGCATCACAAGCACGATCAAGGTCACAGGATGCAACTGGACCCACGCATATGACTCAGGCAGAATCAGTTATTGGGTTGAATCAAGTGCTTACAAATGAAAATCGTATGTCTCAATCGCCTGGGGAAATGAGCAATGACTATTTCTCCGAGATGGCTACTGCTGGACGAACGAGCCGTCTCTCGGCCACCTCAACCCCGCAGGACCAAACGGCCTCTTTGCAAAATGATGAGGATTTTGCTATGGACAGAGAAAACTCACGATCTAATACTCTTTTCTCCCCACAATCATCACCAGAAACATCACCCCCTACATCGCCTCGCGTAAGAGCATCCTTGATTCACCAGAGCTCCGACGTTATCACGATGCAGCTTGAATTGCTGAGCAACCGGAACCGTCACCCACAGATCCAAGCTTCAAGTCCTGCCCAGCTGAATGCACTTGCGGGCAGGAATGCGTCAGGATCCAATGCAAATCCAGACGCCATGGATAGACGATCCATAGCCGAGTTCCTCGAAGCTCTGATCTTGAGTCAGGCCCAGCGGCAGGAGCAGCAGCCCCCAGTGGCAGCAGATACGGACGGCCTCTCAAGTATCACTGCCGGACAATCCAACACAACGCCCCAGGACTTAGGTGCCCCTGAACTAGACCCACAAATTCCAGCCCCAGAAACCCAAGTCACGGACGCTCCAACTTTAGAGTCAATCGAGGAAGCACTAGGGTCCATTCTTCCAAATATCCTCCCAGATGGCGTGGAAGAACCAAACGACGAAGAGCCCTCCAATGAACCAAACCCTGTCGCAGATACAGACCACAATGAAGATACCCAATCTGACACCCTCGTCCAGCCAATTCTACCATCTTCTCTTATCTCCGGACAACCGACAAACACATTGTCGCAAGTCCACCGCGTCACCCTTCTTTCAGCATACCCAGTGGACTCCCTCGCGTCTCACCTTGCTGCTGCAATCAGCGGCATCATACTAGCGCCCCTTGAAGCACTCTACCTTCGCTCATTGACCCGATCCTGGATCATGTCACACCCGTCCTCTGTTATCCGTCTCTTAGATGTCCATCCGTTGGGTCTTTGGTTTGGCGGGAGAACTTGGCCAGACATATGTGCTTATTCCTTCCGGCTCGTACTCATGAGAGGAATGCAAGTTGCGATGAGAGCGGGGATTTGGGGGTTCCTGGTGGGCTCGACGATGAGGATAGGGAGGAACTTCTGCGGCTGGGGAACCTTGTGATGAATACTTGGTTGTTTTGGCCGCATCAATACCTATGTTACATACTCTATGATGTGTATCTTAGCCATTCAGTCATACTGCACTTACGCGGTTTTTGAGTGTCTCACAGCTACCGCTAGCTAGATATGTCATTCCAGGGTTGTTTGTGGGATAATATATATATTAATATCCTGACCCTTGGGCCTTTCGGTTCCTTTCCTCGTTGCGGAGCAAGACATATTTTTCTATGGTCATTTTTTCTCCGCTGGTGCAACGCTTATTTGTTTCTTCTATGGTGTCCTTGTTTTACCGTACAGTGGAAGATATCGAAAAAAAACATAAATTCGTCATTATTTGATGGTACATCGGGTGCTCTGAAAGATAAGTGTAGAAGATGTAGAAGACAGTTGAAAGTTCGAAGCCCAAGCCTAATCCTCAGATGTAACTATCTTAGATCAAGCACGCTCCTTTCCTTTGTTCCCTGGCACCTTGCGTCGCTCCCAGACCATAAGGTATCCCTCACGAGTGAACAGCGTCTCACTTTCCGTGCGATTGACGAACAAATCCTGAATCTCAAGCCACTCAGGGCCTTGCTGCTGTTTCTCTGTGGAACCGCTGTTTTTGGCGCGAGCATTTTCGGCCTCCATAGCTTTATCATGAAGTTGGACAAGCCATGACACCTTCTTGCTGCCGCCACCTGCTCCGCTGGAGGATCCTCCTGCTCCTGACGCAGAGTTAACGCCCTTGTCCGCAGCGTCATCCATTTCACCGGGTGCGGCGATAGCGGGGTCGAGGATGATGTTTGCGACAAGGTCGTAGAGGATTGGCTCGCTGGGTGACCAAACATTGGGATTTGGCTCGACATAGGGGGTCATATCCAAGTTATGCGGAGAGGGGAAGGTGACGATGGTTGGGTTTCGCTCAGAGACAAAGCGGTTCTTGCTGAAGCGCTTGATATGGAAGAAAAGATAAGGAGGAAGAGGGTGGAGAAGACGGTGTCGGACACGGTGGGCCAGTTTCTCTGACGCCGTGTAGCCATTGTATTTGTTCAAGAGGGTAGTCAAGGGAACCTGTGGGATACTCGACTCCCTACTGGAAGACTGGAAGAGGGGAGTGGGGGGTAGGTCCAGTGTGAGTATGAGGAAAGGAGTAACCTGGCTATTGATTGTAGCAGATTCAGTGAATACCAAACGGGCATTTTGGGTGTCGGAGTGAGCGGTGATAGCTTGGCTTTCTATCCGTACACGACCCTGGAATGCTGCGTGAATGACACTTGTGGGTGTTGGTGATGGCTTCTTGGACCCTCCTAAGGCAAGGTGCAGGGTGTTTAGGAACCAAGACAAGAAGTCCACGGGATCTGCCTGGTTCGTGAGAGTGAACCGTTTCGAGGATCGTACAGCAATCTCTTGTAGTAACTCGTGCGGAGACACATGTGACCGGAACGCCTTAGGGTTCCATAGCTTGCGCACCAGCGTGCTGAAACGAAGAATTATCTCTGGTGTGCCAGGTGTAGGGAACTCGTGGAGGAGGAAGAAATTGCGAATTGGCAAAACATGTGCCAGTAGTTGAGCTACTACATTGACGTAGTCGTTGGCTTTGATGTTGTTCATGCCGACAAACCCTGGAGAAGACAATTAGCCAAAAAAACTGATATTATCATGATTCAGGGTCTTACCTGGTCTATACCTAGAACCAGAAAGGTCCCAGGCATCATGCACCTCCCTATCAAGCTTGATCACTTGGCTTTTTGTGTAGTGTGGATCAACCACATATTTGATATCCTCCAAACTCTTGTTATTGACTTCATATCCTTCAGGCAAAACATAGACCTTCTTTGTGCCAATGTTGATAAAGACGTGGTGTCCAACTTCAAGGGCGTGAAAATATGCATGCGATTTGGGACCACGACCCTGGAAGTATTTGCCGCAAACGAGGCATGCGTACACATTGACATTTGACAAACTGATGGAGCACAGCTTCTCGAAGTCGAAATCCAGGATTCCACGGTTGATTGTGTCGAGGTAAAGGTCGCCGTAGCCTTCCATGGGAGCACTTTGCCGCTTTGGGGCGCTGAGTACAGGCGCATCTTCGTCGATATCCAAGAGCCCAGAAGGGTCTTTCTCAGCCTCTTCAAGCTCCTCTGCTTCTATTTGAGCTGCTCCTAGGATATCCACATCATTGCGATCATCCTCTCTCAGCTCTTCGGTTTGCAATGCGGGTACTGCGCCGTTGGGGAAATCGAGATCGTTGTCGTCCTCGACGCGCGCCTTTTTCGATACAGGTGAGCCAGAGAAGTCTTGCTCCAGAGGGAGCTCTGCGTGTCTTTTCGACATTACGAGATGGTTTGAATCGAAAAGTTGGTGACCACGGAGTTCTTGACTTCCCGCGAGCTTGGGATGCGACTCTGTTGCAAACAAGTCAAACACCCACGGTCAGGGCAATGCCAAGCGGTGTACGTTCTATACAAAATGCTGTCCATTTGAGTGAGCTCATAGGGCTGTATTTGCCTATTGTTTATTCACTATCTAGGATTCTACTCCTTACTTGACTCCCAAGGTTACTACAGCCCAAATCATGTCGACTGTTCGACTATCTCGGAATCAAAGAAAAACGTCATAAGATGTGATACAACAAACGCCGTGGTATGTCGACCCTCAAGCACTCCGGACCACCTTGTCGTTATCCACGGGGATTATTTCCACGCCATTCTTTGTCACGACCTTCACCAGCATCTGTGAACAATTGTGTCAGATTATCGGCACTTGAGGATGGCTTCCTAAAGAACTTACTCCTTTGTAGTCAATTGGTAGTCTGCGCTTCAGCTCGTCTGTGCACAGGGTGAGGAGGGCGAGGCCCTCCTCGAGGGTGCAGTCGGGATGGTGGTGTTTGTCAAGGATGGAGAGGCAGTAGTATCTAGCAGAACCAGCGTCAGTTATCTCTCGCCTGGAGTTTCGTGTTGTCTGTCATGACAGGTCATTAAACATACTGGGCATAGCCGTGGGCAGCATATGGTAGGGGCGCCAGCGACGCTAGGTAATCAATCCAGAACAAGTGAGGCTTCTCAGTGACCGGATCTATACCACCTAGCAACAGGTTTACTGTGTAGGGAGTCCGTGACCGCAAGCTGCGCGCCAATTCTCCCCGGACGAAATTGGCAACGGCGGAGGGGCTGAGCTCAGTGTCGTTGCGCATGCTGTAGAGTGCAGCGTTGGCTTGGATGTATTCGGCAAATTGAACTAGCATAGGTATCTCATTAGCATCTTGTTTATCTCGTCGGAGAAGCAGCTACATACCGGTATCTCCAGACTCTCCGGAGAAGGCCATCACTGTGTGCTTGTTCAACTGTCGTGTCTTATCATCTTCAGCCTTGAGAACTGTCGGGCCTCTCATTGCGGCCTTGGATGCAGCAAGAATGACGAAGTCCTTGCCGGCGATACCCAAAAGAACCTCCCTAGAAAGCTGTTAGTGACTATTTGTGGGCATGAGATCACCATAAACTTACATGTTTGCGGTATCAGAGATAAATAAAAAATTAACAAGCAAGTAGATGATCAGAGAAGACGAAGGGGAGTAGTGATCAAGTGAGGAGGACCGCGCGGTGAGCTTGACGCCTGGAGCTCCCGTGAGGTCAGCTACCTGCTGAGTCAGCCGCCGCTTAGCGCTTTTTTTCTGCCAAAAAAAGTTGAAGTTTCGATCTCCGCAGTCCGAGTCTTTCGAGAACGCCATACATTCGATTTCTTTATACAGAGATCAAGAACCGACAGGTCGCAAAACGTCGCCATGTCGTCCTTTTTCACTGTACCTAATTCCCAGCGCAAGAGGAAGAGAGACGACCGCGCCGGAGCCCCAGGATCAAAAAAACGAGGCGTAGATGCCAAAACCGATGGTGGTCGACGCACCAAAGAGAGAGAAGAATCAATCTCAGGCAGTGACTTGGATGAAGATGCTGCAATCGATACGGCAGAGTCAGATGAAAGTGGATCAGACTCAGAAGACGGCGAAACCGCGGCAGACCGAAGATTGAAACTCGCTGAACGCTACCTGGGTAACATTCAAGAAGAAGTCGACGAAGCTGGATTTGATGCCGCAGATATCGACCGAGACTTGATTGCGGAGCGATTGAAGAAGGACGTCGATGAGTTCAAAGGACGGACGTTCCGTCAAATCGCTGCGAAACTATCCGTTCCCACGGCGCCCCATTCCTTTTTCCGCTCAGATACCCAGTCCAACACTGCCATCGCAGTCCACCCGCCGTTTGTCTACATTGTTTCGAAGGATAAGACTTTGACCAAGTGGGAACTGGCTACCCCTAGTGTACCAGGCTCTACAGAATCGAACGGCGATAATGATACTTCCAAGCGGCCTCCGCGCCCCCAGCGCAAGAAGCCCAAGCGTGTGAAGTACGCTCGGGGTATGCGCAAAGTTGGTGAATCAGGCGAGGATCAAGGACATACAGGAAGCATCCTATCTGTTGCTGTCTCACCTTCTGGAAAATTCGTGGCCACCGGTGGAGCAGACAATAAGCTTATCATCTGGGACGCAGAGACTTTGACACCAAGCAAGACCTTCTTGCACCACAGAGACTCGGTTTGCACCTTGTCTTTTGCACGCCATATCTCAGCGATGAGCTCCGGAGAGCAGCTGTTCTCCGGTTCGTACGACCGTACAATTAAGACATGGTCCATCAGCGGAGCGGGCCACGCCTACGTCGAAACACTCTTCGGCCACCAGGATCACGTCACCGGAATTGCTGCCATGGCCATTGACGAATGTGTCAGTGTTGGTGCTCGGGATCGCACTGCCCGCTTGTGGAAAGTTGTCGAGGAAACACAGCTCGTGTTCCGCGGTGGCGCCTCCAGAAATGCCCCTTACCACGAGAGCAACATCGACTGCATTGCCCCCCTTCCGCCCTCTCACTTCGTCACTGGCTCAGATTCCGGCTCCCTCTGCCTTTGGTCCGTCCACAAGAAGAAGCCACTCTACACCGTCCGTCTTGCTCACGGCTTGGACCCGATCCCCCCTCTGGATGTGTTATCGCCCGAAACAGACGAGGCGACTGCCGCCCACGACACGCGCCACATGCGACCCATGCCTCGCTGGATCACCGCTCTCGCTACTCTACCGGGTACCGACGTTGTCCTCAGTGGCAGCTGGGACGGTTTCATCCGCGCATGGCGCGTGTCAGAAGATAAAAAGACACTTATCGCTCTGGGTCCCATCGGTGCAGGCATACCTGGTACTGCGACACCAGATACTCCCTCGCAGCAACTCAACCAGACTCTTGCTCTCGATGCCACCCCCGCGACGGATCAAAAAGAGCCAGAGCCTTTGATTAAGGGTGTCATCAACGATATCGCAGTCTTTGAACGACGTCCCGAATCTGATATGCCTGGCGCAGATAAACATAAGTCTGAGACCGAGCAAGAACCTCGTGGTTTGTCCATCGTCGCCGCTGTCGGCAAGGAGCACCGATTGGCTCGCTGGAAGTGCTTCAACAACAATTTCCATGAGGGCCCCACTTCGGGGGGCCGCAATGGTGCTGTTGTCTTCGAAGTTCCGTTTGTTACTAATGACACCGTGAAGGCTGATGTATAAATTTTGTTCATAATCTTCTGTCTCGATCTTGGTCATTGGCCGAGAATAAAATGGGGAGCGTTGCTCGGGGTCAGGTGTATTTGGAGTCACATCTGTGTATTTTACCATTTTTGCATATGTACCGGATATCTTCGGTGCATTGAAGTATTCAATCATATCCCTCTTTCAAGCAATATTGTTCCTCAAGAGTCAATTTCGTGATCACAGTAAATGACTAGGAAAGCTCTGCAGGCACACTTCTATAACCTTGCTTCCATTCAATCTCGCAATGTTGTTTCAACAACCGATATCCAAAGATTTCTACGAATTCTGGGTCTGCGTCATGTGGATATGTTTGCTGGCTGTTCTCATCGGTTTACTTTGCTTGTGAATAGAGTGTCCACCAGTGATAGGTGCATTTGTTTACTTCGAGTGGACTCGTGGACTATTGTAGATATATGTAGTTATCATATTAGCAGTGACACTACGTACATAGCAAGATAGCGTGCTATACTAGTTGGTGAGAGAATACAATATGGAAAGCAAGAACTTAATGTGGTAGAGCCTGGTGGCTTTCTTCGTGGATTTGATGATGGATTTTGTGGACACGCTTTATTGAGTGTCAAGAGACTAGGTTCTTCGACTCCACTCGCAAAGGTCGACAAAAGATCAAGATCAAACCAAAGAAGGATAAGTAGGGGTATTCGTAGAGTACGGCTGAACCGGTAAGAAGCAAAGCATGAAGATAGAATCCAGCCGTTGAAGGCATCGGAGAGAGAGGGGAAAAAGAGAAAAAAGTCTTCCTTTTGATATCAAAATGAAGACAAAACGCCAACCGTATCCACATTCCTCTTAGCATTATCCAAGCGCCGCGCTGAAGCCAAAACAAAACATTAAGTAGGTCGATAAAATGCGAAAGCAGATACCGCATTGGCGGTTCGAAGATGTTTTTTCAATATGGAGAGAATCTGGCACGTCGCCTTTGCGTGGTTCTTCTCACTGGACCGACGGGCTGATCATCGTCAGAATCATCGAGGGTGATCACATTCTGAGCAGTGGTCCCGCGTGGGATGGGACGACGTGCACCATTGGATCTCCCAGGCCTAACAGGGGGCGGGGAGTCCTCTTCCTCTTCCTCGGATGAGTCAGGAATTTGTATTGGAGGCCTCGCTGCAAGCCATGGAGCATCACTGGGGGCTTGGAACCAGGGGGACTGGCGTGGATATTGTGCATTAGCTTGACGAGGCGGCGCAGTTTGAATTGCGTCTTCGTCAGATTCAGATTCATCCTCCTCTTCATCGACCATCTCTCTATCGTCCGATTCCGCTGAAACTTCCTCTTCCTCATCATCAGAAGCCTCGTCGTCAAAGTAAGGTGTGGTGTTTCTGTAATTGAGCCCAATCGGCAGGGAATGGTGGCCACCCTGAATATCATCCACAACGGTGCCAGTGGAACGATCTGATTCCGATTCATACATATCGCCACTCCCGAGACGATGAACTTGATCTTCAACGAAGGAACTGGTGGGCGGATGGTCGTTTTCAGCATCGATGAATGAGTCTGACTCATCATACTCATTCTCCTCTTCGTCTTCCTCTTCTTCGTCGTATTCACTCCCATTGGTGTTACCTGAAGCGGGACCGTTCTCATGAATCACTGGGAACGTTCGAATCATGGCACCTCCGCTACCCATCAAGCTTTCAAGCCGGTCGAAAGCTTGGCCAGTACCTACACCTGAGGGCCAGTTAGGGCGCGCAGAGAAGGGATCCCGATACCACTGAAGCGCAAAGTTGCCCCAAACGCCATCTTGGTCTTCGATCTCGTCGAAGTGGTCAGATTCCCCAGCCCCGCCCTCGCCTTCTTCAGGGTCCTCATCTATGCCATCTTCCAGCGAGTCTAGATCGGTCTCACTGAAGTCAGCTGATCCACTGTCGTCTGTATCCTCGGAATCCGGCCGGTATCGGTAGCCGCATCCTGCGCAATCGTCCCCTTCAAGTTCCCATGAGCAGAGCGGACATCGAACCACTCCGTCATCAATGTCAATGACAGGCTTGAGCGGGGGAGCTTTTGGCTTGAAAAGACCCCCGAACAGACCTCCTTCGGTTGGATGACTATTGGCCTTGTCCTGGTCCAATCTTTCGGCTTCGTCCCTTTGATTCTTTGAATGCTCCATAGTCGTTTCTCCTCTGTCTAAAAGTTCAGCTCGACCTGTGAACATCTGCACAACAGCCCGGACCTGTGACACAAGAAATATGTGAGATACAATGCAAATGAATTGAAGATTGTTAAAACTCACCAAATAAGCTGGTGCTGGTTGTGTTTTGACGGGTGCTCGGCAATCCGGACATGTCCGCTTTGATCTTCCACCAGCAAACCATGATGATAGACACTATGTGAAGGATCCTGGTCAGTCACTGGTATTAAAAAAACAGGAAAATGATATGGAGACTCACTGAGTAACAGAAAGTGTGCCCACAGGCGATAGTAAACGGTTCGTAAAGGGGACGGATGCATATACCGCACTGTATCAAAGTGCGAATATCATCGACATGGCCTTGGAGGGTGTTGACCAGCTGTATATCACGCGTCAGTCTCTAGTACTTGATCACTTCAATCAGACGCGGGAATTGACTTACCCCCGATGCCTCAGCCCCAGAACCACTTCTAGCCGCCATTTTGACCTTCTGGGGCTTGTCAAGAGCTGTAATTTCCACACCAGGGTCGTGTCCCATCAACCGGAGTGCGTTTGAGGCGTCTTGGGGTGAATGCGCGAGTGCCGACGGGATGCGGTGGGGGTGTCCCGGGGAGTAAAAGTTTCGCGAAGTGGCAAGATGTGATGAACAAGTTTTCGCAGAGACTCTTTGAAGAAAGCTGCGAGGTTAGCGTGACGGTCTGAGATTGAGAGAAAGGCACATGGAAGTGCAATGATATGATCCAGATTCTTTAAGTGAGAGGGCAGATGTTTTGGTTGCCTCAGGCAAGAAATCACATAATCATGAGGAAGGGGCCGTTACACGGGTTATAGGAATAGGCTGATTCCACACTCTTTAAATCGCCATCAGTACACTCCGGGAGCAATCCCGCTCGGCGTTAGGTCTCGAGTTCTTACTTCGGCTGGAGAAGCGCCTGTATAGTCATACAGCAACTAGTTAGACTGCAACAGGTTAATTGAACTTTGATTGATTGATTAGGTGAAGACAATACCCGAAAAGGTGCGATGCCTAATAGAGCGTCGGAAGGCAACGAAGGTTTTCATGGAAACAATAGGAAGTGAGCATGAGACTTACCTGTTTCGGATCATAACGAACATAAAGTCTCCTTTCTTTTTACCCACGCATCTTCTTCTTTCTGTCTTTGCTTTCATTAAAATCCTCTTTAGACACTATTTGTTTCATCATCATTCAAGATGCCAGATAGGATCCCTTTCCCAGTTCCGGAGAGAATTTCTTCTCTGATGCCAGCAAACCGCCGTCAGGCTTTGTGTGACCATCAAGAGAGATCGGTCAGCAATTCATCAAAACTCTCTCAGGTTTCGCAGGACTCACTACAGTCGACCACATCGGACTTCCTTGACGCCAAGATCGCTACACTCGAAGACGAGAAGGAGTACATCAGTTGCATCAAACAAGGCCTTGATGCGGTTTCGTCTTTACGGCTACTCAGCAGTGATGCTTTCCAGACAGAGATCGGTCCTGTCCTAAGAAGATTCCGAGCAACGTCGCAGACTCTCGATGTGCTCAAGCGCCAACAGACATTGATCGAGGAAGACTTAGAAGTGGAGGTCAAATGTAGAAAGATCACCGGACCCTCAGACGATGGACTTGTCGAGAGAGCATACGTGGATACGATTATCCCACGTGTTATGGGTGCGGCTGCGAAGATTCGGAAACACGCCTTCGACCAGAAAAAATTCAAGAAAGAAGTTAATCAATACTACGGCTTAACGACCGAGTGCGCGGGAGAGACATCTTTCTGTCACGTTCTTGGATATTCCTACCTGCCCCTTCAGTCAAAGCAGCTCTTCTAGTACCTAAGTCCTTGAGCCAACCAGAAGTGTCCCATATTTTCGGAGTTCAGGATAGTGTGCTCTCTGATCCACGCAATGGTAAGAATAACCTTTTCGTTTAAGAAGAGAAGGATCTCACGAAAATTCCTATAGCATTATTATTATACAATCTCATTGAATCCCTACTCGACCAAGGGGTGATTGCCATCGTTCCAATTCCTGGCTCGATAACTGAGCCAACCACGTGGAGATGTGTTGTCTTAGATGAGTCTAAGAATGAGAACTTTGTCTACAAGAGGGAGTCCGGGGAAATAATGAAGGTCAAGGTCAGTCTATTCCTAGGCTTAAAATAGAAGAGTATAGGCTAAAAGTTATGTAGCACCTCGATGACCGCATTTTAAGTTTCCTTTCTGAGAATCGCCCTCGCCGAAGATACCTCTATTTCCGTTTTCTGATCTCCTACCTCCACGCGAAGCGACTGAATCTCGGCGATACAACTGAAAAGGTGGAGGCTCGAAGATTCTGGCCGTCCGGTGGTGAATATTTGAACAAGTCCACCCTCAAGACCCTTGCTCGGTGTATATCGGGATGTGAGATCCCTGATGAGTTTGTTACGAACAAGACCTTTGAGGGTTCAGCCAATGAGTCTCGAAATCTACAGGCAGGTATGATTCTTGGGATGGATATCCTAGATACCCACCCTGACGACTATGGTGCGTTGATCGAAAGTATGAAGCGGCTCTGAAATGTTTGTGGAGTGGAAATGGTCTTCAAGAGCAAGAATGGACATAGCTAGTGTGAATACATTCGAGACCAAGATGGCTACTAATCGGGAAAGGGGTTTGCTAGTGCTTACTATTTAAGCTCCGGGATCCCCTCCTTCTTTCCTTCTCCCTATTCTTGCTTTTCTAGTTAAATGCACTCTTTCTATTCTGATAAAAGATAGGGAGTCAAGCCTAGAGGTAGTTCCGCTCTTCTAGCTTCATCCTCGTCCATAAACATAAGGCTCATCTTTGATCGATCAGGTCCCTTGCTTAAAACAACAGGGAATATTTCTTACTGCTATGAAGCTAAAATAGACAGCAAACCAGAGAGTATTGCCATCAAGGAAAATCCCGCTCATCCAAGCAGACTCATGCTCCAGCTCAAATGTTTGCAGATGAACTGCAAAATGCATCCAGGAAGTCCATATTAAGCCGTGATGCAATAAAACATCACTGCATTCTTTGCTTGGCATCCAGATGTCTGTTCGATTCCACACCTTCTGATGATAAGCATTGTTGCCATGTTGTAAATTCGTCTGGTTTTCGAGTATTTCAACAGAGCTTTCCTGTCTAGGGTATGTAGAAGCAGTCAACCTCCGCTATCTAAATAGGGTTGATTTGAATAGCTCGGATTTCAGTCGGTTGTTTTCTTGTTGGAGTTCAAAATACGATGGAACTGGCTCTTTCTGCTTTGCACTCCCTCGATTTAGCACTAGTTTATATACCATATTGTTTGATGTACCTGGTCACTCGGCCTTTGACATTGACAACTTCTCTTGCAAATGTACTTTCAAGGCCTCTTGCAAGACAAGTTCTACATGGGACCTGCTTGTCGCACCTCACCCGACTCCTAGCACAGCTAGAGCAAGCATTGGGCGCCCTTTGACTTTTTCTGGCCGTCATTGAGGATATGTGGAAAACCAACCCCAGCAGAAAAATGCAGGTCTTCCAAGGATTATCTATGACTCGAGGCTCCGCTGGATCTTAGTGGTCTTGATAACCTCCTGCGATTGTAAGGAACATGATTTTTCGCCAAGATAAATGCTTTGGCTAAAATTGTCAGAAAAATTCGACTTGGGATTTGTGAGCCCGATTGAAGAAATGGGCCCTCGGGAGATTTGAATCACCAAAACTACCGTACTCCAAACTTTCTACGCGCCAAAGTCCTTTTGTGACAGCACGAATTGTCGGCGAGTTGCACAACAAATTCAGGGTCGAGGTCTCTTGCGCCTGTACGCCATATTACTTTAGTGAAAACTCTCTGTCATTATCTCACTTTTCTTCATTCTCTTTTCTTCTATGAGAGTCGTTCTTCGAGAATGATACAAAATAAACCCTCTCGCGGATGAAAGAGACCTGTGACATAAGAGGCCCAGTCGAGTGATTGAGCAGGATATTGGGATCCTACGTCAGAGTACTTGACTGATTGAAAGGGATAGGAAGCATAAATCTAACTAAATCCGTGGCTATGTAATATGGGAGAGCAAATGATTGAAAATCGAACATTTAGTAAGGAATTTTCCCTGCCAGCTTCAATGCCAGGTCCGTCTCAATAGGCTCCTCATAAAGATGTTTTGTCAAGTCCCCTTTGTCTTCTTCTGGGTGGTTTGCGTGACTAGTTTCAGTGGATAAATTGTCACGGGGCCAATGTGTCTATCCAAGAAGTTAGTAAACTACTCTTGTATATAGAAGAGACAGGATAATTACCGTTCCAATTCGCTGGTCGAAATTTTCGCCCTTTTGCTGCAAGACATCAGGCGTCGCAAAGGAAGCTGGTGTATAGCACGCATCTATGGCACAGTTACATAGACCACCTGGATAGGGGAAGAATACCTACAAATAATGGCACGTAGATTCTGAGTTGACGGAACGCAATTAAAATGCATAGTGCGAGAATCCCAGAGAATAAGATCTCCGGGTTCGGCAGTCACCTTATGAATCTCACAACCCCTTTCCTCAAACCACTTCACCTCACTCTCGTCAAAGCCAAACCAGTCGCTAGGTCCCCATGTTGGGCAACCAATTGTACCCGAGTGAGTCTTGAAAAACTCGGGCAAAAGCCTTTTAGATCCCTCCATGACGAGAAGACCCCCATCTTGGGGACCATTTGGTGGAAAGTTGAGAATACCCTGGATACACTGCATGCCCTCTCGCAGTGGGCTCTAATCAATATGTGGCAAAGGCTTCGTTTGGGCCAGAGTAGTACCAGATGGAAGTGTGAAGTTCATTCCATCAAAAGAGACCAGAAGCTTGTCTGTTCCCCACAGTTTTGCGAAGGCTTCGATTACTCCGTCCTCCCTGTAAGATTCTTAGATGTGTGTCGCGAAATATGGGATTAAAGACTTACGTTGTGGCCTCCCATATGAACTTCTCATGCTGGATACGATATCCATGATACATTCCCCCCTTGATGTATGTGAGTAAATGTTCTTCGGTCCAGGTTGATTGATCGTTCCTGTCAAACCCGAATGGGAAACTTTCCAACCACTGAAACATCTTGTCGATGTAGTATTCACATCGCGCTGGCGAGATCGCGTTTTTCACCAAAACGTATCCATTTTGGAACAATTCATCACGCCAGTCTCCATGAACTTTGGAATCATCCACGGTGATTTGTTTGGCCATTGGATGAGGCATGGTGCAAAACTAGACGCAAAATCGAGTGCTAATATTGGAAATAATGAATTCGAAGTATTTACCTTGGGTAAAACCACTTTTAAGAGCACATTCGTATGTTTTGTCTTCTTTATTTAAAACCAATTGTATAGTCCCTCGGAGTGGATGCTCAGATAAGCAAAACTCGCGTCCACGGGTCAGAACTCGCGCGAGTTTCAAGGTCAAGGTTAACCATTATCATGGACATTGATAAGCCTTTTGACTATTGTACAATGAATCTCTGCTGCACTCTCAGATATTATATTGAGAATGACAGGATAGAAGTTTGATTTCTTGGGCTCTTTCAGATCGTGTACAGTTCTGTGTTAATCTCAGAGTTCAATCTCCTTACAAAATGACTGGCCCTATTCAGGAAACATCTTCCGGCCGAGATGTTTGGCGCCCGTTCAACAGTCATTCCCTTAGATTCCACCTACCACCAAAACGACGCCAAAAATGGCTCCCTTTTACAGTCCCGCCTAGGAGGCCTCGCTTTTCGTCTTGCCTGGCCGGGCGCCTATAAGATGCCTCTTCTCCTCCCTATCTCATGTTCTCCTAGTTCTCTCCTCATCCCCAACCCCCACTCCCCAAGCCGACCTTAACAACCTTGTTGCCCGTGTTTCAAGATTCTAACCTTACTCATTTATCATAGCTTTTCACTATAGCACGTGTGCTCGTTCAGTCGGCTCAGGTGATAAACACCAACACTAGAATAGAGTGCGCCAAGGACCGCAAAACCGCAAATGGTTTGGTTTTCGAGGTTCAAACCGCAATGGTTCTTGGGGCCCCAATGGTTTTTAAAGTGGGATATATTTAAAACGCTAAATCACGTGTATAACACCTTACTGGTTAATATTTATTTTTAAGACCCTTTATATGGTTATTTTCTAAAGTTTTACGTATAATTCTACAATTTTATGCAATAAATTGTTTTTGTTGGGGGCCCATTGGAGAATCGCGATGGTTTGTGGTTTGGTTTCTGGGGGCAAGGTTTGCCCACAATTGCGGCTTTTGGCGCACTCCAGTGTATTGGTTGGCTCTCGGTAACCCATCTGTGTACCCGGCGGGGCACCATCGATTGCGGACGGGTAGTTCCGTAACAGCAAGTATAACCCGGAACCCTTCTAACCTAAACGTGACTAGTAGGTAGTGCGTAACAAAGATATACTATAATAGTGTGGACCGATTATAAGAACCTTATGTTTCTTATGATAGCCAAAGTACTTTTTCGATAAGTAACAAGCAAGATAGGCCAAGACCCTTCTAGTTATAATATAATTTTTTTTAAAAAAAAAAACAAATATTATAAAGGGTCTGTGCGAGGAGCTTTGACTCATTTTGGAAGATATCCGGACTTCCTCGGCGGCTAGCCAGACGCGACGAAGAAATCAAAAAGGGGTTAAATGTCATCCTTTTTCTCCATCCTTTTTCTCTATCCTTTTTCTCCACAAACATCATAATTGTCAATACCCCCTCTGAAGAGGCACAGTCATCTTCACGATGGCGATGGCGATGGCCTTCTCCGCCAGCCCTAATATAACAAGCTATTTCAACCGGGGACCGCTGACAACCACTTTCACCCCGCCGACAACATGCCTCCAGACCTTGTCCATTAATTCTTTTTATGTGGGGGGCACGCCTACGACCGCCACATTCTACGGGAACTGGTTTGGGTTTGAGGCGGGTTACTCATGCTTACCCACAGGCACCATGCCTGGCACTCTACTGGCTTCCCCGACATACTGGGGTACATACTGGTGTAAGAAAGCATCTAAATCTTTCCGTAAAAGTTTACTTATATTATGCTTCGTAGACTCCCCAGGTCTTTACTGTCCGACTGGATGGACTACTGCAGGCGAATTGGGTTCATCATGGAATGGTTTACATGTGACCGGCAGCACAAGTGGTGCTATTTGCTGTCCGTCGTAGGTTTTCTCTTCTCTATGGGACCGAGCAATGCTGACACTATGTAGGAGCATGAGCTTTTACGCGACGGGCCATCAATGTAGGGAAGTTTTATCAGAAAAAGACACCATCACAATTGAAACGTCCGGTGTAGTGGTCACATCTACCCTGGCAACACCAATCACTGTTTATGCGGACGGAATCCCACTCATCTGGGAAAAGTCCGATCTCCCCAAAACAACAAGCGCATCAACAACACCCTTGTCAACACAAACATCAACCGCAACCGGTGCGACAGGATCAAACTCACCTAACAATAATAGAAGTGGTGGCTTATCAGAAGGAGCCAAGATCGGCATTGGGATCGGGATCCCGATGGCGGCCATTGCGATAGGAGTAGCGATCTTTTCCTATTTCCTCAAACGACACAAAACGGCCAAAGAGGAACGTCATGCAGAGATATGTGATTCTCCACGAGGTCGTGGAGCACTCTCAGAGCTCGCGACTAAAGAGAATTCCGAGCCATTTGAGCTTGGTAGTAGGGGAGATCGCTCGGAGCTTCCTTCGAACACTCTGACTCATGTGCATGAATTGGCATGAATTGTATACCGGTCTCAAGTTGCGTCTTTAAACGAAAATCGAAGGCCTTTGGGGCCCAGCCACGTCTAGGCTCTGTCTTGTGTAGTAAAAGGGCACCCGCTATATGGCATTTTGCTTCCTGCGGATCGCTGTCAGGGATATACATGAAGCATACAGGATTTTTGGAGAAATGATCTGCGGAACCCACATGGTGCATATGGTTTCCCCTGAACGCGAGGAAGCCTGTTCCTTTTGCTTCCTCACGCTACGTCCTGTATCTAGAGTCAACTATAGTGGTTCTTGATATTGATTCTTCATATCAAGACACTATCCACCTCTACGGATACGTGAGACCCTTACAGTACGTAGACGAAAATGCGCACTAGCAGAGGGAGACCTAGGTTACACGACAGTGTATTGGGGGCGCTAAATCCAAAGAGGCAAAACTGACCGGATACAGTAACTCACAAGTCCGCCGTTTACAAAAGTTATCGATTTCTATGGAATTTGTTCCCATATTCGGTTTGGAGACGGGGTATTCAACCGGGGACTAGATTCTCATTGGCTTTTATTAGATATGAAACGCCACCTAGGAGAAGACTGATATCATACTATCATTGATGTTCCGGTATGCTATTGAGTGGAAATTTTGACTCGTTTTGGGTATAGACTACCCTAGTAGGGTAGACGTTTCAACGCAGCTGCTTATCACGGAGACTTTCGGCACTATCTCTCCAGGGGTGTCATGTTTGATAGCGGCCTCGGTGCAGTTCTTCCATAGATGCAGCTTGGAAGGACGGCTGACGCCCGTGTTTCTATCTTTGGTCTCTCCGCGCTGTTTCGGTTGAAGACCTCCGAACCGATCCTTTAACGCAATCTCCCGCCAAGTCTATTTTCTTGCCCGAATCAATGCTTCCGGTGCGTATGACTTTTCTAAAGTATGGAAGTATCTTATCCCCTCGGGACCTCATACTGTGATTGAAAGTATGCCTGGAATACTATTGTACGGGCGAATAAAGACCGTCCAATAGGTAGTTTAAAACCCACTCGGACGCCTAAAATTGGATTGCGGCCTTTTCCACTTTTAAGAAATGCGAAAACAGCCCATGACAACCCGAGTGGCGTCATTGGGAGCTGTCCATCCCCAAACAAAACCTCCAATGGCTGTATGTACTTACCCGTCACATTCTATAACGAGTACATTAGTTCAACACAGCTGCGCTACGTGATGAAATGTCTGTCGAAGCCTACACAAACACGGGGATTGATACTGTAGTCAAGGCTGAATAGTGGGGTATTTGGAGAATAAACGGGTCAGTGGAATAATAATGGATAACGACCTTGGCTGCGGCACGTGGTCTTGGACCAATCCCGTCGAATTTTCAGTACTGCATATGCTATATGCGTGTCGGTCTGGACTTCCAATATGGGCTGTTACTTGAGTTTGTGTATGTTTTTATGGAGTCCTTATGCAGCATTTATTATACTCACTGTTTAACTTGGTATATTGGTATTAATGGCATTGTCTCGGAGCAAACAAGAATAGGCCGCGGTCTGATGTCTTTGGTGGCCTCAGATTTCCTTTTGGGGCTTCTTTTAATACATATGTTCTCGCTGTTTTTGGTTTTATAGCTAGACCGCCGAAAAAGGGGGGAAATCTTAAAATGAGTAAACGACTTCTCTATCCTAACTTTTGATCTATAGCTGTGGGTAATGCCTATGGATATATATAGATAGACTGGAAGGCTGCGCTCTGAAATTGGGCTTTCATATCCCAGTGGTTCTACGTACTAGACATACCTAAGGGCTGTATGTACTTACCTACGTAGATAATTCCTTCTAGAATTATAGGAAAGCAGTACATAAAAACGTGCTATACAGACCTCGGGACTCTGGTTGGGGCAGATCTCCGCGCCAAGACCGCGCGGATCTCCAATTCTTCCCGTGTCCAACGCTAACTTCTGCTCCAATCAACCTCCAGACCTCCAATCTGATTTTCAAGAAACGCTTTGGCATTCTATCTTATTTGATTAGATTACCTGTCTCAATCTATTGCGAACACGGGAGACATAACTCACTGCATCCATGGCATCCGAGTCAGCCCCAGCAGACTCTCACGACAAAGCGTGGGAGAAAGCGGAGAAGAAGTTCACACAGTATGTTTCAATGTTTCTTCTTTCCACCTCTGTCTGCTTTTGTCCATCTCCAAAACGTGGTAAGGCGTTTCTGAAGTCGTCTATGATCGCGGGCGCGGTCCACGGGATCATATCATGTTTACTGGTCTATGGGGTCTTGAGAGCCACGCATATCAACACAGGCTAATCCGATGGCTGCGTATTCATTGGACTGAATAGAATATGCCTGGCTCTTACCCATACTGATAGCTAATATCCGATTTTAGTAAACATGCTAGCGAGTACTACGACCCATGCCAAGACTTCGCGGATCGGAGTCTCAAGTGTATGAGACGGAATGCCTCCGACCGCGAAATGTGTCACGATTATTTCCAGTATGTCAAAAATTTCTTTACGTGATATGACTAGTGTTTTGACTTCCCCTCTATCCGATTTACCTGGCTTTCGACCAACTTCTACAATATTGTCATGATTATCATATGCCTGAGCTTTCTTACTGACTGATTACTTTATCTAGAGCTTATCGTGATTGCAAAAAGAACTGGGTAAGTTGAATGTATAGCTTTGTCGTTATCGCCTCAACCTCTTGTCTTGTGCAGCTCTTGTATCCTGTCCGCGAGATCCATTAACTTTGATTCGATGCTTGTCGGAGTATATTCGGTCGCTAACAAGGCACAGCTCACCCAGAAGAAAGTTTCCTTGACGCCCAAGCCCCAATAAGCCATCTCAATCACCCCGGACCATTCTTACCAAAGAGATCGACAACTTTCCTGGCTGCGAGATCCCTGACATCCCCAAAGCAGTTGTTGCATGCCAACGCACAAGGTGTGCTTTCTATCAATCCAATCATCAGAAGTTTACCAAAGTCAAGCTCCTAGCTTCTTTCATGTGGACCGTTACGTGATAAACATTTGAACTGCTGCCGGGCATCGTGATCTTGCTCGGCTGGTAAAACATTCCATTTTTGGCAAAAACGTGTCATGGTTCGGTGCTGATCTGCGAGATAAGCGGCTTTCTCTGTCCGGGGTTGTTTTCCTGTGACTTGAATTCTGTATGGCGTATCGGGTTATCTTTTGAACGATTTAAAGTCTGTATAATAACATTTTCGAACCTTGGTGTCTTATCTATCTTGTCCGGGTGTAGTGCTTCTGATCTTCACGTTCAGTCGAATACAACCCTCATGCATAAACATGGAAGATACTAAATAAAAACTAAAACTATATCATGGCTGTATGTGAACCTTCTGAGGTTGGAATTAGGTAGCGTCGAAGGTCCCCTAGCAACCGTATCTCAACTTTTTGATATGGGTTATTCATGGGTTTGAATGTGACTTCTTATGTTGATTGAAACAAAAATAGTAGACTGCTTATTCGACCTTATGTCTTTTTGGTAGTAGTTCTCGAAGTTGTTTTATATGTCTTTTTGTTTGATATTTTCTCCCCCTTCTCAGCTTTATAGCTACATAGATGGTAGAAAAAGGCGGGAAAAGCATAAATCTTAGAGAAGACTTTTCTGCGTATAACCAGGGACATGAATTATATATACTGTACATAAGACCATAAAACCATCAATTGAAGCCGTTAGCTACTGCTTTTTAATTTGTCATTCATCTTATATCTATTTCTGAACAATGTACATCAATGGCGCATACAACGCGTACAACGTGCTTCGAATGTTGGTTTCTTGCCGGCAGAATGGTGCGGGGACCAGTTGACCGCCTTCCTTTTGGTCTCCTTCCCCGCCAAATAAAAAAGTGACCGGAGTCGATCATTCAACTCCAACTCGCATCATTGACCCTTTTTAGCCCATGCTGTGCTAGGCACAGCAACCAGACAATTCTGCGAAAGACGCCAATTGAAGAATCCCCCCATCAACGTGAACAACGCCTCCACCATGAGCTCCACCAATGACGCGGTGTTTCTGCGTCGCAACAACCAAATCCAAGATGCCATTGACTCGCAGAACATGAAGCAGGCCTTGCAGCTGATCGAGAAGCGTATGAAAAAAGGCGAGAATACGCAGTTTTTGAAGGCGAGTGATTATTCTTCGTTTCGAATTTCCTACCGTTGCGACGCGGTCATCTGTCTGGGACCAACTAACACGTGAGATCGCAAGCAAATAGGCCTGGAAAGCGAATGTCCTCTTCAACCACGCAGATGAAACCCATAAAAAGAAAGGCATTGCAGAGACCCTCGTGCTGTGCAACGCCGATCCACCGGTCTCGGATTTGGACTCTCTCGACATACTCCACCGTACGCTGCGGAACATGGACGACCATACCGAGCTTCGGAGCGCCATATGGGAGCGAGCTGCTAAGGCAAAACCACAAGATCATGACCTTCAGATGAGATGGTTCAAATTCGGATATGAGGCTGGTGACTGGAAGTCAGCGCAGAAAGTGAGTTGGGAAGAAGCCTATGCGATACCGGCATGATATCAAGGTCTAAGTTGCTAACTAGTGACTTCGATCTTATTACAGGCTGCCATGAGTCTTCAAAAGAACTTTCCTCGGGAGCGAAAGTACTATTTCTGGGCTATTTTCCTTTGTTATCGCGTTTCAGATGACGCAGCTAGCTCAGATATGGACCGCAAGTTGTTTGGGACACTTGCCTATCGCTTTGCTCAAAAGGCAGTAGCCGAGGTTCCCTCTAACCCGGTATGTGCCATTCCCTAAAGACTACATGGTCATTGGAACTGAAGACTGGACATAAGATTTGGACATAAATGACTGACTGGACATGATTGAAATGGCTTACTACAGACCGAATTGCTAAGCCCTACGAGAGCCATACAAACCGCCGAGGAACTTCTCTTGGTCCTTCGAATTTTCGAATCGCAGAATCGTTGGACAGAGATTGTGCAGGTTCTTAATAGCGAGAATGCTGGTCTTAGCTCTCGGATTGTTAATAACGATAGGACTTTCATGTTGGCCAAAGTCATGAGCTTAGGGGCTGCTGGACTTTGGGAAGAAGGGCACTCCTACGCCAAAAGCCTGCTTGCCGTGTCCGAGAACGAAGCAGAGCGCAACACTCTGCATGAGCGTGATGATTGGAAATACTGGAATTTGCTCATCGCAGCCGTGCGTCATCTTGACAAAAACCCTGGGTATGCACTCCAATATCCCACCTCTACACCGTTAAACTCTCGACTTACGAATAATTACCTGCATTGTACATAGGCTGCTCTCCGACACGCAACAGCATATCGAGAAGTTCATCGAGTTCAGCCCAAAGTCACGCAATGCGCACATCGCTCTCATGGACATAGCCCTAACCGGGTTTAAACGGGGTGAGCGGACAGAAGACGATCTGGTTGTTGCGTGCCAAAGATACTTTGACCAACACAAGCACAAACTCTATGCTTTCAAAGACTTACGAGGGGTCTTGGAGACCCGTGATGATACTTTGATCCACCGAGTATCTCAACATTGCATGGACAGTGTCGAAGGGAAACCTGTAAGACAAAATCCAGCTAGAATCAGCTAATACGAGCTAATCAACTTTCCAGGACGATGCCATTCCATTGATCAATGCGTACAAGATGCACTACTGCGACCGGATTTCAGGCGACAACAACGCATCGAAATCCACCATTGAGACTCTTGTCCGTAATTGCCTTTACTTTTACGATGCTTTCACTCTTCTAGCGAAGACCCAGGACTCAAAGAAAGGAAGCCAAAAAGATACTGCTTCTGCGATGGAAAGTCGGCCCACAGACGATTTCTGCATCATTGCCGCAATGGCCCTTCTTCAGCCCAGCCCAGCTGGCCAGGTATCTGAGAAACTCAGCAACACTGCCCTGATCCGCGCCGCAGGGATCCTGGAACGTCTTCTAATCGATTCACCCCATAACTACGAGGCCATTCTTATGTTGATTCGCATTTACCTTCTTCTCGGTGCTGGCTCCATTGCTTTGAGGTGGTTTGGCAAACTGTCTGTCAAGCAAATGCAGTATGAAAGTGTTGCTCATAACCTCTTCACCCGCTTTGCCACCATTCACCCTCATGCTGCGCCTCCTATAGAGGGCGGAGAGTACAAGGACTTTGACCCACAAGTTGCATTTATCGCTGCTCTCGACTTTTATCGTGCTGCAAACTTGACTATCAAGAACTCTTTGATAAAAGGACTTGATGATGGGGTCTACGTCAACCTGGACGATACAATCGAGCTTCAAAAGCGTATCAGGGACAGTATCTGCCGGAGAATGTGGGCCCTGGACTTGCGTCGGATGCAAAGAACCCGCAAAGGAAAACACCTGCCCCTCCACGAAGACACTGGTAAGTAGTCCTCAGTCTCTCTATACTCCTGACGTACTTGAATACCAATTATTCTATAGCCCAGGATACATCACCGGTTCAAGACCAGCGGAAGTATGATGGTTTTATGAACCTGGAACGTTGTGACCAATCTCCATTTGAGCACCGATTGCGCGCAGGCCCGATTCCTGGGGTAAGATTGTCTGCTTGATGACACCGTGGCACTGACTAATATTAGTATAGGAAAACTGGCTGGCATCCGCCCGGCTGACTGATCGACTTTTCAGTATACTTGAGAGCATCGGTAGTCAGAAGCCAGTCGTCTTGAAGCTAGAGCTGCCCAACCTCGGCGGATTGTCGCTCTCCCAGACTGATGATGATCATACCAATGCAGAGAGGGATTCGACCAAGATTCACGTAGAATTGTTGAAAGTGACTGTGTTTATGGCTGGATCCAAGGCCCATACCTCCACCGAAGTTGAGACTGCTCTTGGCGAGGTAGAGGATTGGTTGAAGGCCAAGAGAAAGGATCTAGCCCTGGAGGACCCCAAGAAGTCCTCTCTCATCATGAGGACGACTATCGAGTTTACCCCAGGTACCCCAGGTGCACCGACATGGGAGTATTTCCATGCCATCTGGACCCTCGTGGAGACCCTCAAGGCTCTATGGAATATGCTCGAGCTGGATTCTCGAAAGGCTCTGAAGACCGCCAAACTCCCCGCCGAACAAGTGAAGCGACTGGACATTCTTGTCCGTGAAGTTTTCGAGGACGTCCGTTCAAACACCCGAAGTTTGAAACAGAGTCTTGCCGAATCAGCCACTCTCAGTACACTCATCGACATGGTCAAGCGTGGTGATGCAACTGATGAATACGAGAGGCCTCTTCAAGATGTCATGGAAAAGGTGATGGATGAATCTGCACTCGAATTGTTCTGTGGAGAGCTGAGGGAGAGCTGGGAGGAGGCACTTGATGGAGTGCTGGCTGCCAGGCTTTGATGCTGAATATCGAGAAATGTAAGGAATGAATCATGTGTGTATGAAATACATAGTTAGAGTACATTGAACCAAATCCAAATCAAATCCATGACAGTTGATTTAACAAGTCAGGTGCTGTTTAGGTAGTGAGGTTGAACGATAAAAAGAGGGCAAACACATATCACGTGGTGTGCCAAGACATATTGAACTGGATGCCTGAGGTGTCAGAAATAAACGCTAGTCCCAATTAATCCAGCCCTAGCCCTAGTCACTCGCCTACCGCACCAACGCCAAGACCCCATTTTGCGGTTCCAAGGCAAAAGACCAGGCGATTTTCACACGGCTCCCTCACCTCCTCTTCGACAACCTCCGCCAACCCCTTCAGTCAACAACCGTCGAGATGGCCGAACGCTCCGGAATTGTGGTCGGCATTAACGCGGGCCGGGTACGTTCTTACTGTCTCTTTGCACCATGTTTTTCGGTCGTTTGAAGGTCTCCCAAGGTCTCTTCTCTTCGTTCGGTCTGTTGGTCTATTCAAGACCTGTCGGGTCAAGGTTTATCGCGGAAACACTGGGAATTATCACGGCAAGGAGGATTGCGATGGAATCGTCCATTGGAAAATATCAGAGACTCGCTGGGGAAAATTTCGATGTCACGGGAACACTCTTTTTTGGATTCGACATTGGCACCGAAGCTACCACGCGCCATCCACGCAACCCTGATCCAACCACACCATAAACCACCCCGACAGACAGACACGAAACGCGAAAGAAGAGAACACTGGACCTGCGGCCGCTATATGTGACTTCGCGAAACAGACATACTGACTGGGTCCTGATATAGAAAACCACCGCCCTCAACACCCCCAAGACCCGCATCTCGCGCACCAAGGGCAAGTCTTCCCGTCGCACCGCTTTCGTCCGCGAAATCGCCCAGGAGGTCGTTGGTCTCGCTCCCTACGAGCGCCGCATCATTGAGTTGCTGCGCAACGCCCAGGACAAGCGTGCCCGCAAGCTCGCTAAGAAGCGCGTACGTCTACTCTCAATCCTTATTCCGATTTTGTCTGGTCGGCTCTGTTATATGGATCACGTTGGACTTGGGTCCATTTGGTTATGGTCTTGGTGTATAGGACCCGTACTGTATGGGCCGTGCATGTGCACGTTAATCCTGCAGAGAAAGATTAATTTCAATCTCTACTTGGACAAGCCCATGCAATTACTATTCTGTTCACCAGCGACCGATGCTCATGACCAAAACCGAACGATTTCCACTATGATTAGAACCCGCTCAGTCAATCCATCGAGTCGAACACTTTTACTAACATAATTTCCAGCTCGGTACTTTCGGCCGCGGCAAGGCCAAGGTTGAGTCCATGCAGAAGGTTATTGCTGAGTCTCGCCGCACCGCTGCTCACTAAATTTTCCGACCCGTTCCTGTTTTTCTTTCGTTTTAACGACTCGACGCAAAAAAAGCGTGATTCTCGGATCGGAAAGGGGGTTTCGTGGCCATTGGGCGTGCATGAAGGGGAAGGCAAATATGGGATTCCTTCTCTGTCGTATGGAGTGAAACCATAATGAAAACATTTATTCAACCATTTCACGTGTGATATTTGCAATTGAGCCACTTTCTAAATGGAGGTTTACAACGTAGATGGAAAAGCGTACGGTTGTCCAAGTATGTGCAGGGTGAGGTCTGACTCGATATGTTTGCAGAGTCGGCAGCATCTTAATGGCTATACGTACACATTCATTTGGTGTCAAGTCTAGATTGCTACATTGTCATTGAGATCATCTAGGTAAATGTTGGAACGGGATGTGATTCAAGTCTATCCGCACATCTAAGATGTTAATGTGCCTTGAGAGATGTGCCACATAGCTGGGTCAAGAGCAGCACATGTCTCTCATCTTAACCAAATCCATTCTATTATCCCGGTTTCATTTCTTACCCGGTAGCTTCAGCCACTTAGGCATAGCACCACTCTTCCGTGCTCCGCTGGGCTTATCACCGCCTTGGGCGCTACTCGGACCCAGCTGTGATGGAGCAGGGGCATCTTCCTTGAGCTCCGGCGGTTGCTCCACCTTGAGTTGTTGAGCCTGGCTCCGAAGCTCGGGGCGTAGGATCTCCGCTCGGCGTTCATGAACAAACGCGGGAGCGTGATCAGCCCAAGAGAAGTTGACGAGCACACGGCCAGCCAGCCCTAAGTCCTTAATCAGACGCTTCTTATCTGATGGAGGTATGGCGCTTGTATGCTTGGATCTGGATACACCGTGGACAGTGAGATTGAAGTTCTCACTGGCAAACGGTAGAGCCAGGCATGAACGTGCGAATTCATACAACGACTTTCCTGTGTCCGAGGTCCCAAATTTGGCGACCACCTGGCTCTGATCTGGAAAACGGATTTTCACATCGACTTCATGAATGGCTGCTCGCCTTGCCGCTTCTGCCTCTGTCTTGGCGGCGATCTCGGCATCCGTTGGCAATCGCTTTGGGCGAGAGGACTCGTTGAGTAACCGCTGGTGCAGCTTTGCGTGCTCGATAGACGGTATGTAATCACTCTCATTGTAGTCTATTTTTGCAGACGAAGGAGTGTCTTCCGAGGGAGGGGAGAAGACAGTAATCGTTCGGCCAGAGTCGGTTGTGGAAGTGGCTGGTTCGGAGGTAGGTAGCGGAGCGGCAACTTCATCCGATGCGGCGGTGACGCTAGAGGGCCCAGGTTGCGATGAGCTGGGGAACTCTTGAGCAGGCCCCTTGCTTGTGCTGTCAGCGGGAGCTGCTGTGGGCGCTGCATTCTTATCCTGTGCCGAAGGAGCCTCATCCTCTGACTTGAAGAACTCGCCAATCTTGGTCATAGCTTCTTCAATAGGCTCCTCGGTCCGTCGGAAACTCAGGCGAATAAGAACATTGCCACTGTTGAAACCAAGTTGGGCTAGGGTCTTTTGTAGATCCGTGAAACTCGATACTTCACGTTCCAAAATCTGAAGGACGGGGATCTCATAGTACAGTCGCCCTGCAACATCTCCACCCTCGGCAGAGGGCACCGCACGTGAAGTGAGATTCCGTACCGGGCCAGTCCCTGCAACTCCCGCTTCAAACTTCCGTAGTACCATCCAGAGTGTAGTCGTACTAGGGAACTTATCAAGTATGCGGCCATTCGGGGCACCACGAGCCTCTGATTCGGGAAGTTGCAGGCCGACTGTTACAACTGACGGGGAGCGAGAGATTTGAACAAGTTCAAGCTTTGCGCCGGAGATGAGACCGGAGAGACGGTAGGAAAGAGAAAGGTCCAACTGCTTGCGATTGTGTCTGTTGCGTATAAAACATCAGGATAGTGTTGTCATCGGAGGGAAGAACACCAACTCACTTTAATGAGTACTGGCTAGCATTATATCCAAGCTTCGAACATGCCTCCTGTAGGATATCGGTCAAATGTTTGGTGGGAGTAGTTTTGATTGTTGCCCGCCTGGCTGTCGCGTCGATCACCACAACGTGGGCACTCATTGTGTATGGAGAACAGTAGGTCTGACAATAAATATCAAAGTTCCAATATCTCAATAAAGAGATTGAAAATAGATAAATCAAAGTGTAGAAGCGAGAAACTCGAATGCGGGGAGAAAGAGGGCGCAGAAGGTAGTCGAAGCATACGAAACAGGCAGCGGTGCGGGCGTCATCTGAGCTCTCTCGCGTACCTCAGAGCTTCCCCGTCATCAACTCACCTCCATCACCTCTCCCAACCCGCCCCCTTCTCAACCACCTTTTCTCTTCTTTTTTCTTGTGCCTTAGCTCTGGAATATCTCTGTTATATTGAATTGCATTGAAACACTGCAATAATGGTAAGAAAAATGCGCCCTTTGTCCCTATCGTCCACGAATCTCTGGACCTCAAAGCTGACCGACTTCTCCCATCACAGTCCAACCCCTTCGACATCAGTATGCCGGAACCTTGTCCCTATTGAATAACCAACCAAAATACTAACCGTTCTGCAGATGGCGGTGCCTGTGTCGCCATGGTGGGCAAGGACTGCGTCGCCATTGCCTGTGACCTTCGCTTGGGCATGCAGTCCCTGACCATCTCCAACAACTTCCCCAAGATCTTCAACTACGCTCCATCTACCTACCTCGGACTGACTGGCCTCGCCACCGATGTCAACACCGTCTCCGATCTCTTCCGTTACAAGGTCAACATGTACCGGCTGCGCGAGGAGCGCGACATCGCACCGCAGACCCTCGCCAACCTAGTGAGCTCATCGCTGTATGAGAAGCGCTTCGGTCCCTACTTCGTCAGCCCCGTGCTGGCTGGTATCAACCCAACAACAGGGAAGCCCTTCATCTGTGGCTTTGACAGCATTGGCTGCATCGATTTCGCCAAGGACTTCATTGTCAGCGGAACAGCAAGCGACCAGCTCTTCGGTACTTGCGAGGGTCTGTGGGAGCCTGATCTGGTATGTATTATTGGTGCTATTATATCCCTTGCTAGATGCGCTGTCTAACACACTTCATCATTACAGGCCCCCGAGGACCTCTTCGAGACAATCTCACAAGCGCTTCTTAGCGCCGTGGACCGAGATGCCCTCTCCGGTTGGGGTGCCCAGGTTTACATTATAGAGAAGGACAAGGTTACCCAGCGGTTATTGAAGGGACGACAGGATTAGATTTGGGGAAGTGGTTGTTTTGGGCTTTCCGTTGGTTTGAGGGCAAATCCCGGCGTCTACGGTCTTCACTGGATGATATGTGCCGTGTACGGTCAATCGATGACGGGATAGCACAAGAGCAACGTGAGAGCGGTCGATACCTGAGCCGAAGGGCACTTTTGTTCTTTGACTCCATGTTTCTCTTACTCCTACTCATGATAATAAAAGGCCCCCGTTGTCACGTCACGGCAGTGTCCCAATTTGCATTAATTCAACGCATTCATTAGTGAAACGGACAAAGTCCGCTTTTCGAGAATCAGTAACTACCCCAATCTGGTGCTTTGACTGACCTCTGTTCGTGAGATTGCATGGGTATTGAAATATAAACAATTCA